ACCGTTGGGCGGCCTCCGCGCCCCCTCCGCGGCGCGCGCGCGTTTCAGGCCGTTGGGCGCGCTGAGAGGCGCCGAGCGCTGCCAGGCCGCGGGGCAGCGCCAAAGTATGCCGTGGGGCAAGGCCAAAGTATGCAAAGGAAAAATGCTATTAGCTCATCAGCGCTGGAGAGACTAGAAAGAGGGCGGTGGGGCGGGGGGGAGGGGGGACTGTTAGTAAGAGAGGAAACATGTTTCTGGAAAAATGCGCTGGCCCGCGCGTCGCACAGACTGGAGCGCCCCGCCGGGGACCTTCACTCGGCGTTGAGTAACCGTCCGTTTCCCTTAATGACCTTTTAATTAGGAGAAAACCTTCATCAAATAAACTCTTGACTATTGACTTTTGGTTTTCTGTGCATGAGTCACACGAGAAGTGCACCAGCAGTGCTCCTCCCAGAGTAGGTTTTCATTGAAAAATGAAATTTCGCATGGGAGCGACTTAGCCCTCACTAGAACAAATAAGCGTGTCTCCAGGAGCGTCTCCCCAAAACTATGCTTGGAGAAAAGCATCAGGTTGTGTTCTGAAGTGCGGCTCCCTTCCTTCCTGCTATTACAAGAACTCATAAATGCTCTGTTTTGATAAGTCTGGTCACCCAGCGAGGCGGACAAATTATGATCCGTGGATTTCAGCCAGAAATCCTTATGGGTGTATTTTTCCAAAGGCTGTTTGCTTATGAATCCTTACAAAGGAATGGAGGAGAATACAAAAGTACTCCTTCACCACAAGTTTGATGGAGGTGAGGATTTTTCATACTCATGAAACCTTGCAGTTTATAGGTTGGAAGTTTTCATCCTGCTTAGTGAATTCACAGTACCCTTCTCATGTGGCCAGGCTTGACAGGTCAAATTGACAGGTCAAGCTGAGTGGCACTTGTAATTGTATTCTAGTGATCTTGAGAAAAAAGAAGGTGTAATTTAATTGCTTGAAAAGGTTACACTTAATAATAAAAATCCTGCAAAACACAAACCTGCGGCAAAGGATTGTGAATGCTGACTTAAGCTGCTATCCAATTAGCAACAGCAGCAGTCATAATAGGGGTAGTAGTAGTAGTGATGTTAGTAGTAGTAGTAGTGCTGCATTTTAAAGTTGCTCTTTATAGCCTCTGAAATCAGTGGTGCAGTGTGGAGTGTTGAAATTACTGCATGAACAGGTGGGTTGGAAGGTGAGGCTGGGGAGGGCAGCGGCTGCTCCCCGAGCCCCGCTCTGCTCACTCCGTGGTTCACCTCAGGAGAGCTGCATTGCAGAGAGCTGTGCAGCCCTAGTGGACTTTTGAGCACTGCCCACAGCCCTGTAGTCATCCAGATGATCTAAGGGTTAAAATCACAGGGAAAGCACTGGCTTCCCTGAACATTCCCCAGCTGGAGAACACTCCGAGAAGCATGGGGAGGGTATGCATCCAGGAAAGCATACGTTTCCTTCTTGGAATAATCCAGTTGGCTAAATGGGCATTGGTTATCGTTGCTGGTGAGCACTGGGCTGGTAGGGAGCATCTGCTGGAGTGGGCCTTTAAAGGGAATGAGTAACCGGTCTCTTCTGACATGCAGGAGCCAGACGTTACATTTGGCACTCTGCTGGGTAGCCCACTGCTGAGGTTTCGGGGTTTGGGTTTTCTTATTCATCATACAGACTGTTCATTCTCTCAGGTATTTTTCAGTGGCTTTACAAATGTTGTTCTCCATTTTAGGTTTTGCCTGGAACAATCAGTGACTAACACCGAGAAAAATGGAAAGCTTGAAAAATAAGGAAAATACAACGCTGAAGAAATGAGGTTTCTGTCTTTCTAATCTTCCTGTAAATCTTACGAGTGTTACAAACAGCAGGTTGTTTCCCAATATGTGATATTAGAAAATGTTTCCACACACTGGGATTCTAGCCATGATTCTGTATGCTTTGTGTGATTAAGCAACTGTTTTTTCATAAAACTGGAGAAGCTATAGTTAGAGGTAGCCCTGTGCATTTATCAGCCAGTTTTTCCATGGCATAACTTTTTTTTTTTTAATTAATTTAGACTTCATAAATCATAGAAAGTGCTAGCAGCATCCCTGGAGAGTCAAACACTTTATTTGTTGTTAGATGCCTGTGTCCAGTAAAGTACTGTTCTCTCCTGAAAGGCTCCTAATCATGCCCATCTTTTATGAGTTGATCTGTTTAGACCATTTGAAAGCCCATTACTGGCTGTGGTCCCAAGATAAGCAGATACCAATACTTTATAAGTATAGCCAGTAATTTCCAAAAACTTGGCATTAGAAGGTATTTTTTATTAGGCATCGTGGGTAAATTGTTGCAGACTCACCCAAAAGT